ATATATATATATATATATATATATATATATATATATATATATATATAGAAAGAGAGATACATCTACATACTTATGTGTAAACTAACATATACATGCCTACAGAAACACAGTAGGCCAAAACCCAACGGAGAAGATGGGGTTAGATGGAAACATATGTGTTGCTGTGGAGAAAGGGACAGCTGGAGGATTAATAAGAATGTTTTCAAATTCACCAAAGCTGATTATATTTTACTGAAATGGAGCACAGAACATAAAATGCATTACTGAAACAATGCATTTGCTCAAAGTCTTGTGATGCCATGTTCTATTTCTAATTGCAACAGAAAGTGTTTGAGACCTCTAGTGGTCAAACAAAGTAAAGGCTCAGAAAATTGTGTGTTAAATTTGGGCCAGACATTGGAGCATATATCGCCTTCAATTTGAGGCTAATGTTTTTAAGTAATAAACTGTTGATATGAAGGTTCAGATAAAGTGTGTTTCTTTTGGACCAGTTTGATTTTAGTTGAAAATGTTGAATTTGCTGTATTTTAGAACTGGAGGCAGCTTTGTTGAAGGAACTGGACCCTCCTCTTTATGCTCATCTAGTCAGAGACAACATGGAGCGCTTTACATTCTGCCACAGGTAGAGCGTCAGAACTTTTTTATATATTTTGAAAATACCTTTGATGTTTTTGTCAACAGGGAGCCATTTTTTTTAAATATTTTCCCCTTTTTTTTCATTTAGATGGCTCTTGCTGGGTTTTCAAAGGGAGTTTAAGCACAGCGACGCATTACGTTTGTTTGAAATCCTGAGCTGTGACCATTTGGAGCTAATCTCACAGAAGGTTGACCGTGCTCGATATCAGGAGAGACTGGACCAAAAACACTGTACAGGTGATACACAGGGGGAAAAGAAGGACAACTTTATGGTGTGAAACATTTCCCATCTCTGTGTCTTTACCCTGCATTGTTTGCAGAAGATGGTTCAGAGTCACCACAGCAAACCTTCAACACAGACTTCACCTTTGAGCTCTTCATCTGTGCAGCCGTGCTGTTGGATAACAGGGAGTCGCTACTCCACTGCAGAGATGACGTGCAGCTAATCCAGTTCACCAGCAGGTTTGATCCTAAGGGTAGTATAGAACATATTTGTTTTAGTTTTTCCTTGTAATGACTTTCCTTTTCAGTCTTCAGGGAAGATTGGACCTGAACAGCACCCTGAAAAAAGCTGAGAGCCATTTCTACAACTACTGCAAACGCTGTGCATGGGATTATATGAATGGGCACCGCAGAGCAAACAGTATCAAAGACGAAGATTTCTTTTATCAACTCCGCAGTTTGTTTATCTTGAAGCGATAACACCCCCAGCTGCTATGAAACAGTTATTCCACTCACTGACATTTCTTTATGGGCACATATTGTTACCTCGGCCAAGGAGGTTACGTTTCTTAGGAGAGTTTGTGTGTTTGTTTGTCTGTCTATGTACAGGATAAAGTGAAAGTTAGGAACTGACTTTAATTAACTTTTTTTTTTTTTACCAAAGGTGCACCTCAGTCAAAGGAACAATCCATTAAATTTTGGTGATGGACCACATCATAATCCAGATGCAGCATTATTTTAAAAGATTCTTTAACATTATTTGGCAGGATAAGCACTTCCCTCCAAACCAGAGACTAGACCAGGGGCCCTTTTCACAGAGCAGATTACTGAAAACTAAGACTGTTCAAACGTCCACCCTAGCCTCTAAATCCCTCAATCACTATATACTGTAGAGTGTGGACTATATAGTGTATATAGTATATATGAAAAGGAAAACTATATAGTTTTCCTTTTCATGAAGAGAATTTACTAAACTTCTGTTTCTGTTACTATAGCAACATTCCCCCTAGAGCTAACCTGGTCGGGAGCAGGTTTTGTTCAGTAAACTCTGTTCTCCCTAATGCTCAGCATGTTTGTTTATTTCCTGATTTAGTCAGGAGAGTTCTGTTGTAGTTTTGTGGAAACGATAAAAAGATAATTATTAATTAGGTCTGTTAGACACATTAGGTGTTAAAAACATAAACATAGTGTGTCGTTTTGGATGAGGATCCAATTAAAGAAGGAGCAGCTAATTTAAAGACAAATATAGACAAGGTTCTTAGACCACTTATACATGTGCTTTATATTCAGAAATGTATCTTTATGACGCTACCGTTTCTCCACATAATCAAGACTTTATCTGTTCATACATTTGCAGCATTACACAGACTTCTTCAGACATTTAAAAGAACTTGACATTAATCAGAGAATATTGTTATGTGACAAGAGTATTATAGGAAACAACTCCACAGAGTTGTTTTCTATAATGCACAGGTCCTACCTGTTTCAACAACGTTTTTAGACTTCCTCTTCACCTGCTGACAGGTGTGCTCCTCCCTCCTGTAATTTTACCTAAATGTAATATATTTATCCACTATCATTCAACTAATAAACTGTTTTCCCCTGTAATGCTATCATAACTCGCACTTGGGCAGGCTGTTTTGATATTTATCACCTTGTATGAATATATATTTCTGATGCCTGAAATGAATTTTTCCTTGTCAAAATAAACTTTTCAAACAAAATGACATTCCTCATATATGAAATAAACATTTGGGATGTCTAGAAAGGAATTTTAGATCTCCATATACTACCCTTATTGGTCAGAATAAAAACATTCATTCAACCTGATGAATGTCAAAACAGTAAAATTTGTAACCTGCTTGGACATTTATAGATATATAAGGCTTAATTCTTACTATTGCAATTTTGTTTAGTTTTATTACTTTCTGAATTTTAGGTTCTACTGCAAAAATTAAATTTAGAAAATCTGGTATCACAGTTCCGAATAGGAATGTGATTTTGACCTGAAACAATCCTATTTTAGTGATCTACAAATGGAACAACTCATTAATTAATAAATGTTAAAACAGCCTGCCGTAGCCCACTTTATATAGACTTGCACATTATTAACTCAAGTAGCAATCTTCTATCCCATTTGCCATTCCTTTGCAGCTGTAGCACTGTTGCTCTGTCTTTTAA